TTTCTCATTGATTTGATAATTATTCTACTAAGTATTTTGTGAATTCTAACTGATCAAATATTCCGTTTATGCTAATATGAATTAATGTGTCGATCAAAACCATAAGGCTTATGAATACTATAAATTGAGAAATTCTTATACTTTATCTTTTTTGTATTGAATACATTATTTTACTGAAAGAGAATTATTTGTTCTAGAGCAAATTTTGATATATGGTAAATTGTAAAAGGCCAATGAAAATTAATTGATATTCAGAACTCAAAGATTGATACATTGATTCAATAACTATTTCAATTATGTTTGAACTGAACTTATATTCTGATTGAATTGCTTTATTTGTTGAACAGTTCTCTCCTGAAATTACATGCTTCTTTTTATTTTGACTACGTCAATAGAAACTATAAGATTACGTATTATAAATATTTCCTTAACGATTAGCCTGATTATATAACGAAGAAAAGCATCAGTGAATTCAACTTTTATTTTGTAATCAATACCAGGAAAGGACTGTACTATAATAATTATTGATTTGTTTCCTTTGCGTATTTTATTCATTTATTGTATATTCATTATATGTTGTATAATCTATGTAATAACCTGTTCATGAATATTGGGAAGGTTTTCGGGCAGTTTCCCTTCTCCTAAGCAACGAATGTTGGTATTCTTTGTCTAGTTCTGCCCATTCGAGTCATTTTAAACTACTGAAATTATTAAATGCAATCTCTCTCTCAACCACACCGGATTCTTAATTATTTGTTCCTTCCTCATCTGAATCTAGAGTTCAGGCTTGTGCGCGAGCTTGTGCAAACACCAGCAAGGTGCAAAAGGAGGCAAATGTGCAAAGGGTGCAACCGAGAGCGGTGCACCAGGAGACGGAGACGCAGCCGACGGAGACTCAGGGAGGCCCGATAACAGACGAGGGCATTAAGGTGGAAGCACATAAAATTACAGGAGCCATAGGCAGAATGCAGAAGCCATAGCGCATGCGCTGTGGTATTACTTTATCTGCCTATAGCAGAATGGCAGATATCATAGCGCATGCGCTATGGTTTCTGTATTCTGCCCATGGCTTCTGGATTTTCAATCTACATAAAAATACATAATGCATCAGGGCCGGTAAACTCCCATTGTTCTCGCATTGCCAGTGTTTGTAGCGCCTCTACAAATCTTGCCCCACCTTTGAGGAACTAAAATTCAATATGGCTGTCGAACCGCTCGATTTAAATCTATAATAGCTGATTTTTTCATATTATAATTATTGCTATTTATAAAAATTATGACAGAAAAATGGCTAGGAAGCAAAAATTAAGCTACACTGCTATTGTTACAATTTAATTATTACAAGTTTTATTATAAATATTTCGAAATAGGAAAAATATATAAAATTATAAAATAGATATAGAATGTGTACATGTGTGTATGTGTTTATATGTATGTACGGTGTATATGTGTGTATATGTATGTGTGTGTGTATAAACATATTTTAATTTAGATGCGTATACCTGGATAAAGTACCTGCAAAAAAAAAAACATAATTGTTTTAATAAATAACTCATTCTATTCCCTTATTTGCAAGTGTAAACATAATACTTTCCCTTCTTACCTTTCTTAACATATCTCATTGCCAATGATTTAGCTTGATTATACATATAATTTGGCTGGAATTCAGCTAATATTTTTTTATTTAATATTTTATTAAGAAAATTGCACCACTGCTGGATAAATTCCATTGCAACCATATCCAACAACTCCTTCAAAGCAGACTTACAGTGCATTGTTAAATAATTTGTCTCCGTCGCCATGCTATTTAAAACTTGTTCTTTTAATTTGATATTGTGGCAAAAGTTTGGAAATTGCACTTCAGTTATATATATCGCTTGTTGTAATATATTTGTTATTTGTTCATTTTCTAATTTTTTTGCACAATCACTGCATATAGGTATCCATTTTTTACGCATGAAACTCAATATTTTGTGCACATTCACAAAAACATTTCTTGCTTCTACTATTGGTACAGCAGCTTCAGCACAATCTATGTTGGTGTCATTATTTTCCATGCGTGCAATTTCTGCTGCGCGAAACATAGTCATTAATGCTAAAGAACTATCCGTTTCATTTTCTTCACAATTAGAAGAGACGGAATGCTTGGACGTAATATTAGCAGTAATTAGTGTTTTAAATGCCGTTCCAAATTGGTAAGGAGTTGGGTTGACATTCCTACGTCCTACGTCTCTTATTTGGCCGAAAAAATTTTCTAGTACGTCTTGATTTATATATTTTAAATTAAGATGTGTAAATCCACTTCTTTGGAGGACATTCCATAGACGTGCAACACCTCGGATCGTCCACATCCAATTTTTTAAGCACTTTGGTGCATTTCTTCTTATTGGTTTTAGTGTTGTTTTTTCAACAAATTGCATATTATCCAACGTAAATAATGCCTTTTGCCAAAAACGTTTATGCGTGCTTTGTGGACTAATTATACTACTAAGGCCTTGTCCTTGTTTGCCATTAAAGGAATCGAATAATTTATCAAAGAATAATAGCGTTCTTGATGTAGCAGCGGAGCTTTCTGGCAACTGTATCGTGCCTTTTATAGTTTCAACAACACCTGCAATATAAATAAATAATGCGTAAAGTCAGAATATTTTTTTGCTTCTACAGTGCATGCAAATTAAAATTTTCCAGCATTTTTTTGATAAATGACCATTATTATTTACCTTGTTTATAAGATACGACTATAGCCATGTAATGAGCCACAGTATGGCTTAACACTTGGACAGCATATCTTACTCTCATCTTTGGAATCAAAGCTGGATAGATATGCTTATCCACTAATTTAGGCATCATCCGTTGTTGAATATCTGAATATTTGTTCAGTTTATCGATAGTATACAAACGTTCGATAGCATCTCATGTGGCGTATGGACATTTCAAATCTGTTGATACATTTTTGTTAAGCATTAAATGTTTAGTTAGTAAGTTATTCCGCACGCCTTTTTGCAAATGAACATAATCAAAGAGTGGTATAATTTTGTGATTTTTAAGAAAAATGGTGTTATCTTTTATATGTCCTTGTGGTTCTGAAAAAAATTTAATGCATGTTTAGTACTTATACAATACAGGTACACACATAAATACATATATCAATACATATGTAAATTACTCACCATTACCATGTAGTGCAGGTCGCGTTTGTTGTATCAATAAATTGATCGCTGCAATATTAGTTCCCCCTTGATCGCAAACGCTTGCAACTGGTTTGAAACCACACTTTATAAGTGCTAGTAACCATTTTTTGATGCATCTGGCTAATTGAATTGAATTTGTTGCACTATGACTGTATCCGTAGCCAATTGGCATGTGCTTTCCAGAGGCGAGACATCTTATATAAAAAACAATCGCATGATCTGCTATCTTTCTAGTTCGTTTTGTACCCCAATCTTCCAAGCCAATTATCTTATCATTTTTTGGATCATATTGGACAGCAGGTTGTATAGACATTTCGTCCCAAATAAGCACCACATATAAATCTTTAGGATCAATCTCTTTCTTAATTAAACATAAATATTGTAGAATACTTTTATTACACCCAGTATCAATAGGAATATTTCGTAATTGTTTCTTTAAAGTGACATGAGAAGGAAAGTGTAGATATTTAGAAAGAAAATTATATGATGTACGACATCTTTTAAAGAGACTTAAGCAAAACATTTTTTCTTCAAGAGTGTAACGTCTAGCCTGTTGAAAATAAAGACATAATACAACATAATAAACATATATAAGAAAATAATCATAAGCCAATATTTATAGTCTGTTCTTATTTCAAGACCGTCTTAAAATTGTACTCAAGACGGTCTTATATATAAGAACCGATTATATAAATATCATCCATAGAATGCAATAATACAAAATATATGCATCAAAATTTTAATTTTATGTTTAATTTTATATATACAATTTTTAATAATTTTTAAATAAAATAAATACAATTGCAAACAATATTATTAAATAGCATGAAAAAAGAGAAAAAAGAAAGAAAAAGAAAGAAAAAATAACTAAAACAATAGAAAAAATATTGTTAATAAATTTGCAAACATGATTGAAGAATGATATAGACGAAGGATATACAATATTGATCAAGATATTAATGTACCTGAGGTGCCACTTTATCATGTCTTATTATTAGATCAAGTATTTGTTGTCGTATTAAAGAAGTTTTATCCTTTCTGCCTCTATGATCTGTAGTGCTAAGTATTATTCTGTTAGATGTACGTTTTTGTTTCATTTTCCGAATCTTTTGCTTTAATCGTCTTTGATCTTTTTGTAATTTTATTACTTTCTGATAAAACAATCGGGCTTGTGGATTTAATTTACTTTGTCTTGTAATTTTCAAAAGATTAGGTCTTCTTCTTGCAGATAAAGTATGTTTATTGTCTTTATTTAATTGCTTTTCTAGTTCCTCTTGCTTTTGAGACAATACTTCTATTTCCTCTTGTTGTTGGTAATGCAACATTTCCATTCTCTCTTGAATTTCTTCTTGCTTTTGAAACAACATTTCCATTCTCTTTTCTTGCTCGTGATGCAACATTTCCATTCTCTCTTGAATTTTTTCTTGCTCTTTGGACAACATTTTCATTCTCTCTTCTTGCTCGTGATGCAACATTTCCATTTTATCTTGAATTTTTTCTTGCTCTTGGGACACCATTTCCATTCTCTCTTCGTGCTCGTGATGTAACATTTCCATTCTATCTTGAATTTTTTCTTGCTCTTGGGACACAATTTCCATTCTTTCTTTGTGCTCGTGATGTAACATTTCCATCCTCTCTTGAACTTCTTCTCGCTTTTGAGACAGCATTTCTATTCTCTCTTTTTGCTGTTGGTGCAATACTTTCATTTCCTGTTGTTGCTGATGGTACAACACTTCCATTCTCTCTTGTTGCTGATGCAGCACTTCCATTCTCTCTTGAATTTCTTCTCTATTTTGAGATATTGTCATTTCTGTCTGTTGCTGGAATACTTCTTCTTGCTGGAGTTGTGTACTCGCCTCTTCTGAGCATGCTAATTCCATGCATGGGACAGCAGTATTTAATAATCTTCGATATCTTGGACTGCAAAAGTAATCATTCTCACGAAAATGTTTATGACACACTCGTAACTGTTTTATAACGTCTTCATCTGTAATATTAAGCTTCAAAATCTGTAACCATCGTTTGCGGCGTTCTTTATTGGTAGGAATCCCATGTGACGGCACTATCTTGCCCGATTTGCATCCTTGTACACAGCACGATCTTGCCATATTTTTCTATTTCACACTACTTCTAATTACCTTTAGCAATGTTTAAAAAATATATTTAAACGTTCTACGTTTATGCAATGCACTACGACAGACCACGACAGACAATGTGAACTGAATGTGAACCACGTTGCTAAAAGTTCACGACAGCAGCCAACAGCAGCTGCCCGCAGCTGACAACAATCGACAGCCATATTGAATTTTAGTTCCTCAAAAGTGGGGCAAGATTTGTAGAGGCGCTACAAACACTGGCAACGCGAGAACAATGGGAGTTTACCGGCCCTGTAATGCATAGCCACGGGATGGCCACGGGCATGGTGTAAAGAAAGTAAGGTGTGCTATTGGCCACGGGCATAGGCACATACATTCTCCTTGTAGTCGGTCCTTCTAGAAAAGTG